GTTTTTGCGAGAGGTTTCTATCGGTACAGATACTTTACGCTAAACTTGAATTTGATTTACTGGAAATGTCAAACCTTTATACGTATTTAAATAAATGTTAAATACTTTGACAAGATGGAGCTCTCGTACCGATGTGATCAAACGACTTGCCAAAAGACCGAGAAATGTTGGCAGCAGATGGAAAACCTGGATCTGACCAGTGAGCAGCTCAGCCAAGCGAGAGCAATAAAAAATAGTTATCATCTTTTGAATTTGTATTACTTATTACGATTTGGTACAAAACCCTTGGTGCTGTTAACGACATTTAATGACGAGCCATTACCATTGATGACAAACAACGTTTGATTAGAAAGCTGTTGAAAGATCTTAAAAAGATTAGGGGTTCTTGGTTGCAAATTTTCTACGAAGGCTGTAGCTGCAGTTGGACCGCTAGAATTCAAAACTGAATTCGCTACTAAAAGAAAGCGCAATTTAAAGCGCTTTCACGATAAGCCATCTAACGCAACCACGATAGCCAAACAATAGCCAAATAAAAGAATTCGAAGCGAAAGTTTTATGTTGATTTAGATAGTCTGATCCAGTTGATTGATTTAAGATTTGAGTCAACCAGAGTGTTTAGCAATATGTTTTCGTTCATCTGATTGGATATGTTTTCGTTTTTCAACAAAAAGTGGCTTATTTAAATTTGATCTTTTAATGATAAATAACAAATCATTATATTCCAAAAATTAGTTCTAATTAGAACTAATTAATTAACAATTAGAACTAACGATTAATTTAGAACTAACAATTAATTGTCAGGTTGGTATTTTTTTACTTATTTAATGTTATTTTTTTGAGCTATTTTAAAGTGCTCATATTACCAAGTGGTCTGGGCACTTTTGCTATATTTAAAAATCTCTATGTTTTTAAAAAAAAAATTTTGGGGTGCCCAAATATCTACGTGGATCACGAGTAGTAATGCTATATCCAAAAATTTTGGATATAGCTTTATTATTTTAGAAAATATTCCAATCTTCGCTTAAGGTGTTCATATTACCCTAATCTATCCTATAGAAAAAAAAAAAAAGAAAAAAAAAAAAAAAAAAAAAAGTAGCAGTTCACTTATTCGGAATTTTTTTGTGAACTTGTGTGAGCTTTAATTTCTTTTGTTGATTACAACAAAAATTAATATCTAGTTGAGATATTTTTTTACAGTGCTGCTTCCGAGGCAGCTGGAATTCAAAATAAAAAACGTTTCTGTAAAACATACATACTTATATTTACTGAGACAAAAATATTTCCGTGATATCAAAGAAAGGAAATTACAAATTTATTATCTTTAAAAAATCTTTTCGCGTTGTTTTGCTTAGCTGTATTTAAATTATGTTTCTTAGCAACCTTACATTCTATATTTTCTTTTCGAATTGCCGTTAATTAAATTAATTTGTACAATTTACCAACCGCGATTTAGGTAAAACTTAAAACATGTCTGAACAACTAAGTCGAAAACTAAGTCATAACATTTTGCACACTCCTGGTTACAATACTCAAAGAAAAAGTTTGTTGGAAAAGACTTACTCAACTGTAGATAATGAAACAAAGCTTATTAATGCAGTCGCCAGAGACGATATAGAAGATGTTAGAAAAATACTTAGAACGCCGAATATTTTAATAAACGCTATTAGAAAACCAGGTTGGTCAGCAATTCATCACGCATATAAAAACGGTAATCAAGAAATGGTTAAATTATTATTAAAAAATGGGGCAGACATAAATTTGTGTTCTGAAGATAAATTATATCCGCTTGAAATAGCGTCAGTAGGAGGAAACTTTGAACTATCTTCGTTTCTTATTGAAAATGGCGCTAAGTCTCAAAGCATTATTAACGGAATGCGAATATAGTTTACGTTTTAACTTTTGATTTAAGGGCTCAACACAAATAATATTGACTTTAACCCCTAACTTATAGAAATTCTGTAAATGTTTGAATTTTGGTTAAAATAAATTTAAATCTTTTATTAAAGTTTTTCGGTAAGAATTCATCTATGTTTTTCATTTGCATAATTTGTACATATTTAATTTGTACTATTTGTTGTATTAAAATATACTTAACTGTAATGATCTTTAAGTGTACATTTTTGAACTTGAGAGAAATAAAATTATTTAAATTATCATTTCTCTATTCAAAATACGTATCGCATACTTACGCACTAAACGTACCTTTGTAATGCATAACCAATAAGGACAATCCAATTATTACTAAAACTTCAGATAATCACATTTAAAACCACAAAATAGCTTTTTTAAAACTCAAAAATACTGACAGGAAGTGTTAAAATAAATACGTCATGATAAGTTTTTGTATCTAATAAGTTTTAATAACCATTTGCATTTTAATAAGTTTTTTGCGGTAATTTTTCTTAATCGCATTTTTGTTGTCGCAAATAGCAAGCAGTGTTAGATGTGATAAGCGTAGATTGTGTTTATTCTAAAGTGATTTACATATTTGGATAGGTATTCTCACTATTAAAAAAAAAATGTGTTGGTTTTTTTTTTAGATATGGAAAAGAAAATTAGGCTTTGATGGTCATTTTATAACTTTGAAGCTTTATCTGAAGTAATTAATACAGTAAATTTTATTCAAAGTGTTATCTATTGTTAGCTACAGTTTTCCCCCACCTTTTGTTTATTTATTTTATAATACAAACTGCAGGTAACAATTTGCAAAACAAAGTGTATAATACTGATTGTTTATAATATAAGTACTCTATTTTTTTTGTGTGGAGTTTAGACTCTTTTTGGATTACTTTAAAAATAAAGAATAAAGCCTCAAATTTTTGAATATCATTTTTTGTTCTCCAACATTCCAGAGTTTATAGGACTGGTATAAAATTGCCGATATGTTGTCTTCTATGTCAATGTTACGGCGTTTGATAATGCTTTCCCCCCTCTATCAAACTATATCTCTAATCGGTAGCAAGTTTTCATTACTTTGTTAATAAAGTGGTTATCTTTAGTAATATCTAGTAATATCTATTCCGATCTTTAATCTTTAGTAATATAAGATAATAATCTGTGGTAATCTTTAGTAATATAAGATATCAGAGAAAAAAAAGTTGGATTGTTCAGTAATCTGATAAACAGATTTAGTTTATTTTGTATGAAAATGGTAGACAAGACATCAGTTTTAAAGAAGGAGTGCAAAAAATTTATTCTGTACTTCGATATAATTATAAAAGGAATTTGAATGTTGAACTTCCGACAGCATCCAAGTGATTATGAAATGAATTGTTATAAGTATAGATTTTTAAGTCGTACAGATTTTTAAGATTCGGTATAGACAAAGATTTGAATAAATGTACTATAGTTAACGGTTGATAAAAACTACTCCCAAATTTTATAAGAGTTCTGGAGATAGATTAAAATTTAATATTACTGTCGTTTACATTTGCTGTTTGGAATGTAACTATATTTTATATGTTCTTGATTATTACAAAGGAATCCAAGGTATTTTAGTTTATTATTGAGGTTTAGGGGAAAACTGTATTACGGAAATTACGAGCGAGTTTATAGTAACTAGATAAAACGAACTTCTGTTGTTGTATTTTATGTAAAATACATTCCTGTGATGTTATTCTATAGTAGTTAAGCATAAATATTACGCGTTGAAATCACTTTGACTTTTAAGGCATTCCAAAAATCAAACCAATTTTGGGTACTTTGTAAAAAGTAAAGATGGGCTCGGCTAAGCCATCGAAAAGAACAAGTTGGATCAACCAATCTTGCAAACATATTTGGTGAATACCATGTGTGGGGTATAACATACCATTGAAGCGCTTTCAAAACTTTTTTCTTATTTTTCATTATCTAAAAAATGCGCAAAAACTGGTACAAATTAAGTACCGAATTATTGATTAATGGAAGTTTTTTTCTCTCCACATTTCATTCGAAAATATCTTGTTATTTGAATAAAAATTGCATAATAAGACTCAAATTTTTGAATGTAGTTTTTTGAAATAAAAGTTTTTTTTTAAATTAAAAAAAAAAAAAAATTAAAAAAAAAAAAAAAAAAAGATTAGTAGATACTTAAGTAATCAACAATCAAAAATGAAGTTTTCATTTTAACATACATTAAAAAAAAGCATTTACAAATATTTAGGTAAAAAGCAATTAAAATCACGATCCAAAAATCTTAGAACTCTAATCTAAATCTAAAGGATTTATCAATGGAGCCTATATGTTCTAAATGCAATCTATAAAGAAATCGATTTCTGTATTTACAACATTTTCAGTCTCTCTCTCTCTCTCTCTCTCTCTCTCTCTCTCTCTCTCTCTCTCTCTATATATATATATATATATATATATATATATATATATATATATATATATATATATATATATATATATATATATATATATATATATATATATATATATATATATATATATATATATCTATATATATATATCTATATATATATATATATATATATCTATATATATATATATATATATCTATCTATCTCTCTCTCTCTCTCTCTCTCTCTATATATATATATATATATATATATATATATATATATATATATATATATATATATATATATATATATATATATATATATATATATATATATATATATATATATATATATATATATATATATATATATATATATATATATATATATATATATATATATATATATATATATATATATATATATATATATATATATATATATATATATATATATATATATATATATATATATATATATATATATATATATTAGAGTTGGTACTGATTAATTTTTTTTTTGTTCGATTAATCGTCTAAAATTTTAATCGATTAATTTCGATTAATTCTGAAGTCGACAGAATAACCTGCTTTTCACCACTGGTGAGGTGAAGTTGTTATCGGTAAACGTTAACTAACTACAGTATTCACAAACGTTAACAAACAAGACACTTAATGCCTGCTATACTGTATTCAGTTTAATTGACAAATACAAGTATCACTTTAGCCAGTCACGTAAACAAACGAGGACGTTAACGTTTTCTGGAAGTAGACAAGATCGTAGTTTGTTGACAATGTACCCTGACGAACTAAACAGCCTTTCACAAGGAACAGAAGTGGCAGGTACACACATAATTGTCTGCACAAAACTGCTCAGGTTAGGGTAACAATGCCTGTTCAGTTGCCACCACATGGAGGGATTCTCAGTTTCTGGAATTACACCTTCTTCTTGATATCGTGTAAGCTCAGCCAGCGAGCCATGTACTGTTTGTGATTCATCTAATGAGGATTGCGATTCCGAGTCGCTGACCAACCGAGTAAGTTTCAGTTTCTTACGCACAGGTTCTGGTGCCTCGCCAGTGCTGGTAGTAGTTTTACGTTCAGCTCTCTGTCTTTGGTCACAGTACACCCGAAATGCATTAGAAAGTATTGTCCAAACTGCTTCACGTTTCTCTCTTGAGAGACAGCCGAGTTTCTTGTAACGTGGGTCTAATGCCACAGCCATTTGCAACGTTGGCAATGCATTAATATTTTCAATGCGACCTGAGAAGTCATTCAGTGTTGCAGATTTGAAACGTGCTATATACCCTGGATCGTAATCCCGAAGAAGTCTGCGCAAAAATGCTTCTAACGGAAGTACAGCCGAACATGTATCATACTGTTCACTACCAATATACTCAGTAGCATCTGCAAGTGGACCCAATACCGAGACAAATTTTGACATTCTGTCCCAGTCCAACTCCGTTAGTTTATCTCCAGTCTAATTCTTGGGATGGTCAATATGATACTGCTTAATGGCATCTTTCACTTCCAGCAATCTGGATAACATTAGGTAGGTACTGTTCTACCGCGTAGCTCATCCTGCTGCAATTTGTGAAACTTCACATCGTCAGACCTGTTAGAGGTACTGGCTTGGCTGGCCTTTAGCTCTGATGTATTCCTTGAACTGCGCCTAAAATGTCCAACTAGGTGTCGACATTTAGCCAGAATAGGAGATGAATCAGCTGCTTTCAAACCTGCTAGTATGTTCAGTTGAAGACAGTGTGCAATACACGGTATATGGCTGTAATTCGTCCGTCCTATAGCAGCAACCATATTTTGTGCACTGTCCGTTACGATACAGCTAATTTTTTCAGCAATGTTCCACGTTGCGGCAAACTCTTCATAGAAACTGGCAACATTATCAGCAGTGTGCCTTTCTTCAACATTTATGCAAGCTAAAGCGACAGACACCAATTTCCACTCAGAATCAATCCAATGACCTGTTATCCCACAGTACGATTCATTGTTGGTGGAGGTCCAAAAGTCAGTAGTTAGAGCAATACTATGAATGCATTCTAGAGCTTTCTTGTGCTCATTCAACTTCTCATTGTACATCTCTCCAATGACAGTGTCGATTGTACGGCGACTGGGCAAAGTGTAAGTCTGGTTTTGAAGGGCAATACGAAGCACCGCCTCTAGTCCAGAATCTTCTACAATTGCTCTCAGACGTCCAGAACTGGCAATCCAATGAGCTATTGCCACCTTCAGGCCGGCTGAGACCTTTTCACTGACAGGCTTGTTTGACTGACACGTAAAGAAATTGGTGATTGATTTTACCTGAGGGGTCATCTTACGTTCACTGTCGACAACCTGTTGATATTTCAGAGGATGCTTGTGCTAAAGGTGATAAGTCAGCGATGTGTTTGAGCCACGGAAAGCGAACTGTTTATTGCAGTGAACGCAGTATATTTTGTTACCTTCGTCTACTTTACCATCAGCATTCAACTTGAAAACAAAATGCTTGCTTAACTTTCCAGTTAAATGTTCGACAGAAACGTTGCTTTCATTAGTTGCCGCCGCCATATTTGCAAAACAAACTTTGTTTACTTTAGAAACGGATATAGAAATGTAAGATAATGTTCCCAGGTCAGTAAGTATTTTAAAATATGACAAAATTTTTAGTCGAGATTTTCAAGATACGCGCTTTCAAAAATAATTTTATATTTATCGAATTCTATTGAAAAATTCTAAATTTAATACTCTTTTTCGTCAAGGCTAATGACTTTGAAACAATTGATTTTGAAAAGTTACGTTTAGACGTTTTTAAAACTTTTAAAACTGAAAATAACTTCTTTGCGAATGATTTATATGAAAACGATATAATTTTTTATAAATTTTAATGCTTAACATTTATCAAATTAACATATACCAAAATATATTGTTCATGCTAAAATTTAAATTAGGCCAAGTACCATACCACTTCACAAATAATTTCTTTATAAATAACGTTAATAAATATAATACAAGAGAAACAGGTAACTTTATCATACCATTCAAAAAAACAAAACTCTCCCAATTTTCTATTTCATATCGGGGTCCTTATTTATACAACAAACTAACAACCAAAAATAAATCTATTTGTGATCAAGATAACCGAAACTCATTGAAAAATAATTTTCAGTTATTATCTTGCATCTTGTTTTTTGTTAATTTTTATTTTATCTTGAGTTTATTCTAATTGAAGAATATTAAAGTTAACTTTAATATTCGAGTAGTTTTAATACAACTAGTTGTACTTAATATATAATATATTACCTATATTGAATATAATATATATTATTCACTTGTAAGGGCTTCGTGATAAGATCAGTATGATCCTCTTGAAGTCCTGTATGTACTATTTTAATTATAATTATAATCTCGTTTATATATTTTGACTAAGGAAACTTGTAAATATTACTATTATAAATTACGAAACTTGTTAATATATATATGTACGGCAAAAAAATAAGTAACGGAAAACCGGCAAAAATTAATCGAAATATTACTGAATAAAGAAATTTTAATCGATTAAATAAATTAGCGATTAATCGATTAATTAATCGTTAATTTCCGCAGCCCTT